CTTAGTTGCATTGCTTGCACAGAACTGATGTTTTGCCGACCTTTTGTTTTCAAATATTTATGTATCTATTGTAAGACTGCCCATACCATTTATAACACACATGAAAATTCATCATGCAATACCATTTTTGCAATCATATACACCAGAACTTTTAAAACTGATTTAAAGGTCTTCATATATGTTTAATTCTTCCAAACTTCTTGTTTTATAATGTCAGTAATATTTTAAGTAAATTGGTGTCTACCAGGTAGTGCTTTTTCTTGCAAATTTTAAGTTAACAATTTCATATGACCATAGATTTTAAACAATGAATTATAGCATCTTTAGAAAGAGTTTATTTCATTTGCTTACTTTTAATATATTCAATCATCAATGTTTTCTAATGATTTACAAAAGAACTAAAAACATTAAAGGTTATTTTTTTCTACAACCCAGATTTAAAAAAAAATTAACATGCATTTAAAATTAAATCTTCACAAAATTTTAGCAGGATTTTTCTTCATAATTTTATATATATGTATGTATTTTGTTTATTTTTAAATTTTATTGGCTGCCCATCTTACCACAGGACAACTCTAAAACATTAACAGAATAACAGAGTTGGAAGTTGGACAAATGGCTCTCTAGTCTCTTCTTTAAAACTTTCAGTATTGGAGCACCCACAACTTCTTGAGGCAAATCATTCCCTTGATTAATTGTTCTGTCAGGAAATTTCTTCTTAATTCTAGGTTGGTTCTCTCCTTGATTAGTTTCCACCATTGCTTCTTGTTAATATTTTATGAGACAAATCCTACTAATTTTAATTAGTGTTAAATTTTGCATTTTTTTATTTTATATGTCAGAAAATGTTCACACACATAAATGATTATTTGCATCTGTTAGCAATTATTAAGTTGTTGTTGCTTATGAAAAAGAAAAGACAGTTCATAATCAAATTTATGCCATAGGTACAGGGACCATATTTGCTTGGAAAAATAAAGAGAAACTTGGAAAAATCTGAAAGAGATTTATAAGGATAAAACAAGAATACTTATATTTATAACTTGACCTTACAAAGGAAAATTCAAGAGCAAAAGTAAGAAAATAAATAATTAAAGAATCCAAACAATCTGAAATAAAGATATGGCCCTTATATTAAAGGATCGGTAATCACTTTTCAACATAGCAAAAAGGTTTAATTAAAGTAATGTGATACAGCCAAAAATACTGTCTTTCAAATATAAGCACAAGGAAATATCATTATATAAAATGTCTATTCATTGCATACATTTTTATAATGATTGGCTAATATAGGTCATAAAGGATTCTTGATTCTTCAGCAACATGGAGATTTTGGGATGAGAAATAACTGTATCATTTTATACAATAGCCATATCCTGTTAATTGTATATTATGAAATATAACCAGCTATGGAGAGGGAATCCACAAGCATGTCCATGCTATTGTTAGACTTATATCCCACCTATATTTTTTTACAATTTCTAAGGCAGTGGTTCTCAACCTGTGGGTCGGGACCCCATTTGGGGTCGAACGACCATTTCACGGGGGTCGCCAAACAACGCAGTCGGCCATTTTTTCCCCTTTTCCTTAGCTGTGCTACTCCCTTTTATTCTATTGGCTTTTGAAAGCCAATAGAATAGACTCTCTTGAATAGAGTCTAATTCAAAAGCCAATAGGAATTGTCCAGGCTGTCTCTGCCCTGCTGAGCCCGCCAAAGGTCCCATTCTGCAAACAGTGCTGCACCAGTTGAGTAGTCCTCTACTTACGACCGGTTGAGTAGTCCTCTACTTACGACCGGTTGGGGTCACGGCATTAAAAAGGTTGAGAACTACTCTTCTAAGGGCTTCTACCTCATAGCTTCTCCACATTAATAACCCTGGGAGATGGATTGGTTGACACTGACTGCCCTGACTCTGACTCACCCATCCAGGTTCTGTGATCAAGTGAGGATTAGAACTCACAGTTTGCCAGTTTCTAATCCAGGACCTTAACCATTGCAACAAACTATTAACAAAAAATAAATAAAAAATGGAACAAGTGAAAAGTGGACTAATAGACCTAGTTTGGCACTGACCTTTTCAGAATACTTTTTTCACTTCCCAATATAGTTTACAATATTAACCTACTATCCAATTAGTAGCCAAGTTTCACCTTCTGTAACTTAAATGTCATTTATGTAATACAATCTGCCATTATATTCTCTTATAAGCACATTTTAAAAACCACTTTAATAATTATATAAACTGGATACTAAGTGTAGTGTTTGTTCTGTAAATAATTTTGACTGAAATGAGTGATAACCAAATGCCTTATAGGAATTGGTATGCGTATGCCTAGTTTTCAACTCCTGGAATAGTCCCTGCAGGTTTTTTTGTAAAGTTTTTCAGAAATGGTTTGCCATTGCCTGTTTTCTAGGACTGAAAGACTGGTTCAAAGTCACGCTAGAACTCACAGTCTCTTAATTAGAGGAAATACATAAGTAAAATACTGAAGACATGCCAGTCATACAGTGAAAGTAGTATTAAAAATTCAAGTATGAAGATATAAGAACATATTGTTGAAATCATATTTAATAAAATTATTCACATGCTTAAAATGCCATAAAATAAATGAAGTTAACAATGTTGGGGACGTATCTCAAATCATATTTTTTATCTGTCACATTTATTTTCCATTAGCTTTCTGCCACTTTCAACATTATTATCAATCATTTTTTGGCTAAATGTTTTTGAAAGCTCAAAGAACCATATAAATTGGTACTGCTGTTTGACCTCTCAGAATCAAGGTTAATGAAGCTCTTTGCTGTCAGAAAAAAAGCTTCAAGCCAAAGTAACGTGTCAAAGGCAGCCAGTCAGGAATAGTCCCAACACAAAAATACTAGTTAATGTAATACAAAGCAGATGAAACATTTTGAAATGCCTATACTTGAGAATTTTACTTCTGATTTAAGGATTGATTACCTAATATCACTAAATTTTAGTTCTTCCCAGCATACCTGGAAATGACTTATTTTCAAAGATGAGTAATATAGTCAGTGCTGAGGTAGTGATGGTTTTTAAAAATATTAGGCTAAAATGGGAAGGGAACAATAAAACATTTATCTGATAATTTTTATCATGTGTTAAAAAAGAAAGCAGCATTGACATAAACAGCTGCCCAGTAAAATAAGATGATTTGGAATTTTGTACTAGATTTCAGATATTTCACTTTAGGTGTAGGCCACAGGTCCCCAACCTATGGGGCACCAGGCAATGGTTCCATGGGGAGAGGCTTTTCTGCGGACCAGAGGATGCATGGTTTTGTGTGCTTCTTGCATCTCGTGGATGGGGCTTTGCTTGTTTGTGCAGACCAGTTGCTGGCATGCTGCGGCCAGAGCCGGCACTCAGAGCCATTGCCCCAGTCCTAAGACTTCAGCTGGGTTTTATAAAACCTTTTCACTTTAGGCCTCCAGCGCCATGTGCAAAAAAAAAAAGGGTTCAATCAATCAGTAAATTTCAACTTCTCGTGGTAAAAAAAAGATCTTGCAAAGTTGGAATTGATTGATTGAACTTTTTAGTCCCATCCAGTCGCTGTTACCACCGCAGCCACGCCCACCCAATGGGCCACACCCACCCAATGGGCCACACCTATCTGGCACCCGACAATGTATAAGTGGCTTTTGGGTTGCAGTTTGGGCACTCGGGTCTCTAAAAGGTTCGCCATCACTGGCTTATATGATAGCAGCTATCCTAGCTATTGTTTCATCCATCTATATCTCAAGATGCCAGAAGTTATACCTAAGATTTTATTCATAAAATATATGCTCCATCCAAGAAATTCTGTTCTAAAGGTATTATACTATTGTATTCCCCCTTTAAAAATGATGCTCAGGATAACAATTGTACTTGCTGTTGATTTGAGCCTAAGAGGTCTTGCACCATCTTTTTAACATGACAGCTGAAGAATATGTGTGGCTTATATCTTGTTCATTATGCAAGTCTTTTTCCAGTTCCTGCAACTTCCCTAGCAATCTCAAAGGAAGATGTCATGAAGAAACCCTTTCCATGGGATTTTTAAGAACTGGGACTAGCCTGGGAGACTGTAATTCATAGCAGAAAAGTGCATCAACCATGGCTGAAACTTCCACAACTTTTAAGGAGTTTAGAAAAAGTTCATCAGATAAATCAAGCATTCTTCACTGCTGCCATTCTATAAAATCAATATTTTACATTAGTTATGTTCTAGTGTTGACCCATAAAGTATTTGACTATCCCAAGTTGTTGGGAAGCATACTTTAGGATTGCTAACTCCACAAATAAGAAATGATTGATAGATTGTACTCCCCACGAGATAACATTACTTTTTTAGCAATTAGAGAAATAATTGTCAGATCAATGTGGGTCCATCTTCCACACAACTGTGAAAACTGGCTTGCAGCTTTTTAGGATTTCATCACCTTACTGAAGATACCAGAAATCATTCATATGGAAGACATGTACTGAATTAATCTCATGTAACAGAATGGCCTGACATCTGGCACACTAGATTGCCCCGAAGTTCCTGATTGCACAAAGAATGGTACATAGTCATTGGGATTCATGAGATTACTAGGCATGCCATCTATGCCTCTGAACTATAATTCCTAAGCAACACTATAACAATACCAACAAAATCTAAAATTAATAATCAGTCACCAAAATTTATAATTATTTGTTCATTTTTTGATTTGAGTGGAAAAATATTTTTTTATACATCTACATGCTCCCTAAATTAAATGTAGCATATCTGTGATCTTCCAATATTTCTAACTATAACACCCAGAACGTTTCATTATTGGTCATCCCAAGGCTTACAAGTTCCCCAATTACCATAATAAAATCTCATTGCATATCTAAAAAGAACCCTAACCAATTACATTTTTTTCTGGAAATGGGGCATATGGAAAATCATATCACTGTGGCAAACTAATTGACAGGACTTCATAAAAAAAAGAACAGATTGATCATAATGCCAAACTGCACCTGTTTGGCTTTAGATAGGAAGCACTGCCTGGTCAGCAGCTCTTAGAATTTTCAGTGCCCTTCGGAATCCTTGTGTCTGAAAGGCAAAATGTAAAATTAAGCAATTATTAATAGCAATCATTTATCATGACAAAGCCATACATCTCTGCCTTCTGCTGGAGACAGAAATCAGACAATGTAATAGTTGATTAGCTTACTGCAAAGTCATAACCATAGGCCATATTGATTAAATGCTGATCTGACAGAAGGTTGTGTCTAAATGTGAGAGGCTAGAAAACAATAGCTATATTTACCTCTTTGCATTCATGTTCCCTAATACTGGGACAGTTTTTTGCAGTTTTTTCAATATAGGCCTCTCCCGCACTGTCTCATTTATGTTTACGTTTTTTTGATGGCGAGTCTGAGTGAAGCTGCTATGCACCATAGATGTTTAGCAGGGAATGGGAGTTAATATTTGTATTAGGAAACATATTCATTTTTGATTACATTTTCTTATACAGCACTAACACCTTATGTGGCACTTTATACAACAATATAGTTTCTTGCTTTGAGGCTATGTTACTATCCAGCTCTCTGTCCCTTTAATTCAGACAATTCTTATGAAGAGCCATTTTTACTAGTTTCAGGTGCCCTCTGCTCTCGGTATATTTCCACTTAATAAAATAACAGAACAATACATTTGCCTAGTTTGTTGCATAGAAATGTACTACTGACTAAAACTGCATCTCATCTTTTTTGATGTTCTATGACAGCAGTTCTCAACCTTTGGGTCGCGACCCCATTTGGGGTCGAACGACCATTTTACAGGGGTCGCCAAACAACGCGATCCGCCATTTTTTCCCTCAGGGGGCGGTGCCGCACATGCGCACCACACATGGGGGCGGCGCACATGGGGGCGGCGTGCAGGGGGCGGCGGTGCGCATGGGGTGGCGGTGCGCATGGGGCGGCGCGTCCTTATGACTGGGGTCACCGTATAAAAAGGTTGAGAACCACTGTTCTATGACATTTTTGTCTAAAATGCCTGTAATTGGCTGTATCATAAAAAGGTTTCAGGGAGATGGATAATATCTGTAGTACTTGAATTTCTATTTGTTTTGTCTTACTTTAGCCTGATATATTTCTGCTATCAAATCAGACAAGTCACACAAAATAGTAATTGTTACAAGAAGATCACATCCCAAAGGTGCTTTTTCAGGAGGCAACTGGACTTTCTTGTTTTTCTTTGAAGATGTTTCACTTCTCATCTAAGAAGTTTCTTCAGCTCTGACTTTGGATGGTGGGCAATAGAAGGATTTCTTTTAGAGAGTTGTTGAGGCCATTTGGAAGTTTAGCTATGTCCTCAGGGTCACCTGAGTAGTGCATCTTGTGCTTCAGTTTGAGATGCAGACAACACAGACTCATCCCCAATAGCCTGTGCCTGACTGCAACAGTGAAGGGACACAGGGCAGAAAATATCCTGCGGTCAAGAAGGCTCCACATACATTTGCACTACTCAGGTGACCCTGAGAACAGCTTTGGGACACCATGACCTGGATGACTGAGAACCTCCATAGACAAGAAGATCGCATAGACTTCATATGGATCGCATGAAAAAATAGCAACAATGGTGCTTTGGAATTTCTGCAGGAAATACAATTTGCCTGCAAGCAAGACCTGGTGGGACCACATAATAGACAAAAAGAGAAAATGAACAGGGGTCCTAAAAGTTCTCAAATGCTTTGGGACTTTAGAAGTCAAACAGACAAGAACCTGGTGCATAATACTCCAGATTTAACAACTGTTGATTAAAAAAACTATTGATTAAAAAATACAAAAAAGTCTGTAGATAAAAGAGAAAGAACTGGGGAAAAAACACAAAATACAAAGATCTGGAAAAAGAAGTAGAATGACTGAGGCAAAAGAAAGCAAAGATAGTATCAGTACAAAGATAGTACTATTAACAGGTACCTTGGTGCAATCCCAAAATATCTAGAGCACCACCAATGCCATCAATATTGACAAAATCACCATCATTCAATTGCAAAACAACATCTGCTACTCCAAGTCTTTGGGAACGACTTGATAGGTGGCTGACTAGGTGGCAACCAATCAAAGCATATATTTTATACACTACCAAAGTAAGAAGGAAATATGAGTAGAAATTCCTGCTACCCTTTCCTTCTCTTACTCTTAGGATTAGTAAAGTTATTTCAAAATTCTTGAACTGTGTTGAATGTGCAAGGTTGAATGTGCAAAAATTACATTGTAATTTTTTTATCCTGTCTTTTCTGTAGGTGCTCAGAAACCTGGAGGCTACCAATATTTTCTTCTGCTGACAGCCATACAGGTAGTTTGGGTTAAGAGAAGATGAGTGCCTCAAAGCTACCCTAGTGAGTTTCCATGCCTGAGGATAGAGTTGCTTGTTAATTTTCCTATATCAGTCCAGTTTTCCATTTTCTACACCATTCTGGCTTAACTCTTATACAAATAATATTTAAACTGTCTTGGTTAGACATTATGAGTTTTGTATAGACTAAGAGTGCTACTCTCTCACATTAAAATTGAGACAATAGACAATTTTAACTATCTCTGACTCTGTTCACTATAGAATATCTCATTGGACCATAAAAATATTGCCAGTCTAATTTACTGTATCATGTCTTGCTCTCTGGCATAGTGGAATTGGGCTATTTCCTGGGTGCATCCAATCATAATTCATAAAATGCTAACACTGCCTCAGTGGTGAGTCATTTAATTGCAATGATAATTAGACCTGCGCAAGTCAACCCTTCATATTTTGTACAATGAAGGTGACAATATTTTTCTCATCAAAGAATTTTGCATTATTTCCTCTCCATTGTCATGCACCAGCACTTAACTTATTCTGCATGTGTTTTCCGATAATGTGAACACATGGCAATTATTTTTGGTCTTAAAAAATCTTTTGTATATGAGGATGGATTCTGAAATGAAGAAAACTGGAAGAAAGTTAAACCTTCAAATGCTGTGATCCTAATCCAAATCGTGATCCTTTCACTATACAGTTTGTAAACCAACTAGCAAAGAATAAACTTCGGAGACATAAAAGACCAGTTGCACGGTCTGCTGTAGGCCACTTCAAAGCAAAGTAGATTTTTTTCCACTAAAATTATATAAATATGATTTGCTTTATCACCTTGAATCCTCTCAGTGAAACAATTTTCATAGTCTCAAATCTCTCTGAGCCCGTGCTTAAAAATAGAAGGCTTCTTCTGCCTCAATGTTAATTGAAATGGTCTCAGACTGAGGGATTTCACATGCCACTCTGCATGCACTGGAGTTGCCCCTTCAAATCTAGAGTGCTAAAAAAATATGCCACCCCTTTTCTTTCAATAATTTAAGGGCATGTTTCTTATCAAACAAAAAAACCACCATAAATTATGAGTCAGGCCTCTTTCTCATCAATTCATTGCCTTTACAAAGATTGAGTTCAAGTGCTTCTTATTTCATACCTTTGAAAATATCTTCCAGATTTTGGCTGGGGAGAATATTTGTGGTTTGTGAATTGGCTAAGGAAAACTAAATACATTTACTCTTTGTCCATGTCCTCCCTCCAAATACTTTGGGGATGGCAGGCAGGAATGGAAAACAATTGTTTTGGAATGTTTGGCTCTGAGATGGTTGGGAGCCTGACCAAAGCAGCTTCCAGTCATAGAAAATAAATCTTCTAACTTCAATCCCAGAGCTAAAAGAATAAGAAGAAAAACCCTCTTAAGACGTTCATTTTCAAAATGATGATTATAAATATTTCTTCTTGGACTTATTCAAAATGTTCTAACAAAATGCATATTGATTTTAATTTTAGATGACATCAAAATGCATCGATCTTTGGGGTAAATATTAATCTCTTCTTTGGCATAAATCAATATTTACCACAGGTCAATACATGTGGATGCCTGGTTCAACAGAATCAATAGCAGCTTAATTTGCAACAAAGTTAATTATACTGTTACAATGTTTTACATGTCATTCATACCTGAAACAGATTTCTAATATTTATTGTTTAAAATGCTTAGGCAGAGAAAATTTACTGCTTAGGGTCACAAACTCCAATGTGGATGCGGACATATAAACACATTTATGACTTTTATTTCAGTTGTGTAAAGTTTTACTATTATGGAAAACCTTTCCTCTCTCCTCCTCCCAAAATAATTAGAACATTCAAAAATTTAGAAAAGAGTTGGAGCTGTAAAATATCTCTTAATGACATACACATGTTTGTTTAAAAAGATAGATGTGGTTAGGCTACTCTGAGGTTATTCTACTGGATACATTGAAACTTACTTCTCAGAAATATTCATGCTACCAGGCTACATGTCTGTGTGGTCAGAATTATCTATAGACGTTTTTTATATCAGATAAATGTCCATTCAGTCAAGTGCAATATAATCAAGTGCATATTCACATCCTAGCAGAGAGGACAAAAATAGAAATTGCTGTGCAGATTGTTTGGTCAGACTTATTTCCCTTACCTAATATTAAGCAATATTAGATTGTCACTGTTTCTCTCTCTCTCTGTCCATCCAGGGTAAACAGTTTTTTGAGATTGTCAATCTGAGATCCTTATACCAATATCTGGAGAAGAGAAAGAATAAAATCTTTAGCCCATTCCCGAATCTCCTCCTTATAAGCAGGACTGTACAGCAGCTAGAATGAAAATAATGCAGGAAAAGAAGAGTTGGTATCACTTTGAGACTGCTGGCTGGAGATGACCCATTTTTCCAGATTCTTCTGGAGGCTGGCAACATCTGTGTTTTCTGGCCCTGTTATATGAGTATAACTATTTCAACTATTTTACTTTCATACTTTATTAAAATGATACTAAGCCTTGTTCAAGCTAAGAGAAGCAATCTTCCATTTGATATTCCAATATTCTGCTGCAATTACCACAGCAGAATGGGATGTACCACAACAATTTTCATCTCAGCAGGATGCCACAGTTTTTAACCTTCTTAGCATATACATATATATATATATATATATATATATATATATATATATATGTGTGTGTGTGTGTGTGTGTGTGTGTGTGTGTGTGTGTGTGTGTGTGTATATATATATATATAAACCTTCCTCTTGCCTCTATTTCCTCTCTTTGACTTTTAATTTGAATTTTTTTTCCTCGATGGTCCATTTTTCCCAAGTGAAGGAAACAAAAGCTTATTTTACTGGACCTTCAATTTATTTTTGCAACAGAAATATTGGCCACCATGAACTTGAAAATTCTCTTAGGGTTTTGATATGTAAAACTTTTGCTGCATAAAGAAAATAACTAACCATCAAGTACATTTCATCCACATTACTCTTTCTATAAAATGGCTTTAAATTCAGGCATAAGGAGCCTGAAGTCCTTCAAAGGTTGATGCATAGAATTTCCAGCATTATTTAACATTGGCAATGCTAACAAGAAGTGTTAGGAACTGTATTTTGATAAGATTTGTAGATCCACAGCTTTCCTATAATTGGTTTAAATACAAAACCTAGTGGGCCCTATAAGAAAAAAATATTTATTCATAATCCAATAGATTTTGAATGTTTGATCAATGACAGCAAATGTTTCTTTAATGCAGTGCTGATGCATTAAAGTGTGTCAAGAGTGGCTTCTGGAATTAAAAATATAATACATTATAAATTAATAGACATCTAAGGAAGGTCTCTTTTTTATTAAAAAAGCTGACCATTTAATTTTCAGTTGTGACATATTGTCCTTCCTTCCTTCCTTCCTTCCTTCCTTCCTTCCTTCCTTCCTTCCTTCCTTCCTTCCTTCCTTCCTTCCTTCCTTCCTTTCCTCCTTCCTCCCTTCCTCACTCCATAACAAAGAATAAAATACTTTCTTTTTGTGTGATATTATAAAATAAAATAAATTCAGTTGTCCAGATTATTGCATCATGTTACAATTGCATCTTATAAATAATACTTACTGATAATTCTTAAACAATATAGCTCTGCTTCTGAGTGCTATTACACAGTCAAGATGGTGCTCTATTTGAGAATTCTGAATTCCTGCTAATGACAGATCCTTCTGCATTTCTCCCCATAATATAATGTTCAAATGATAAATCCTTTCATCATCCCAAGAAATTTAAAATGTGTTCACTATTAATAAAAATGTCTCTTCCACACATAAAAGCCAAATACTTTAAACTGAATTAAATAATAGAACAGATTTCTTGTTGAAAGTGACCATGTACTTTGCCCTTCTATATCAAGTTTTAATTTGTTAGTAGGAGATTTTGTTTGAGAAAAATAGTCATAAAAAGTTATACACTGTATCTCTCATCAGTCATAGAACATGGCCCTAAATCAGGAGCTCAGCAAAATATTCTCCCACACAATATGTACCAATATATTTGTTAGAAAGGGATGATGATGATGATGAAATAAGATCTTGCTTCTGTCAAACTTGACTTCTAGTGATTTCATGCATAAATAATTGTATGGCAACTTTATAGAAGTGATTTGTCATTAGCTTCATCCTGGATTTTCTTTTCAACTTCCCAATCTTATATAGAGTGGTTTCTCATAGAATCATGAAACAGACTATGCTTAAGTTATTAAGTTATTCATAATTTTTAAAAAAGTAAATTTGTAGTAATGATTTATTGTTATATAAGCTTTAGCTAAATCATATAGAGTTATTTTGATCTGAGTGAAATCCTTTATAATAGTGTAATTAGATTTGAGTCTGATGTACTTTACTTTGATAATATATATCCAGATTTCAAGTATCTAAAATATTTTGCTAAACCAAATATAGGAAGGGTTTGGGAATATTTTTAAGGGTCTAATAATAATATCATAAAGCTCTGATAAGTTTAGATTTCAATATTAGATTGTGAGTATATGCCAGATGCCTTCAAATGAGTAAATTATGGATTGCAAAACCAGAAATATTGCACAGCAGAGTCATAAAGTTATCTGTAATAAAATGTATATTGAACAATTTATACTTGACATGTTACATTGAATTGTCTATTTGTAAACATTTTCTTTTTTTCCAGGAAAAATTAGTATTAGATAATACAACAGCTGTTCTTTGAAACATCTAGTATTTCATTTTACTTCTATCTCTTTATCTACTTAAAGCTGCTGCCAGGTATACTTTCAGTACTATCTATGGCATATGAGAAGAATGGACAGACTAAGGCACTGTAATTTCAAATCCTGAAGACTGAAGTAGCAACCTGCCAGTTATATTGCTTCCATATTTGTGCCATACTGCTGTGCAGCATTTGTCAGGACATTTTTAAAAATTGCTATGTATATTTGCTATACATACAAGAAATCAGGAAAAACTTTCTGGTCTTCCCCAGTTCTCACAAGAATAAGAATGGCTTGGAATATACTTGAATAAATTTGATTGGGATGATTTATATAAACTTGGTTTTAGAGAAAAGTTATTGAAATGAAGCTAGGAACAACCCACTTTCATACCATGAACCACAAGTAAGCATATTTTACCTATAGAATGTTAGAGAATACTGTTTTCCTATTTCACAATCAACATTTTATTTGATAGGATAAATAATTTTAACCCTACTTAGAAGAAACAAGGTGCTGATTTTTCCAAGATAGAATATACTTCTTAATGAAACTGTTTCCTTAATAGTAAAACCTATTACTATATATTTCATTCCCAAGCAATAATAATAATAATAATAATAATAATAATGCACTGAAGATGCATTTAAGTTAGTAAATCAGGAAGGCTTATTGACTACTGGAGAGACCAAACTGGCCTACAAAAAAGACCAAATGAAGAACAAAATAGAGGCACAGGAAGCAAAGCACTACATGGCCAGTACATTAAAAAAAATAGCCAGGAAAGCAGATAATAACAAGACCTGGCAATGGCTAAGAGAAGAAAAGTTGAAGAAAGAGACCAAGGGACTAATTTTGACTGCAAAGACCCAGCCTTAAGGATAAATACATACAAAGTCAAAATTAAGAAGAAAGCAACAGACAGTAAGTGCCGCCTATGCAAAGAAGCTGAAGAAACAGTGGACCACCTGGTAAGCTGCTGCAAGAAGATCACACAGATTGACTACAAGCAACAGCATGACAAAGTAGCAACAATGGTGCATTGGAAGATGTGCAAGAAATATCATTTGCCTGAAAGCAAGAACTGGTGGGACCATAAAATAAAGAAATTCATAGAAAATGAAAATGTTAAATTTCTCTGGAACTTTAAAATTCAAACAGACAAGCACCTGCCACATAATGCCCCAGACTTAACAATTGTCAATAAGAAAGACAAAAAAGTCTGGATAGTGGATGTGGCAATGCCTGGAGACAGCAGAATAGAAGAGAAAGAACTGGAGAAGATAACAAAATACAAAGACCTATAAATAGAAAATGAACGATTGTGGCAAAGGCAAGCAAGTGTAGGACCAATAGTAATAGGCGCCTTGGAGGCAATCCCAAAACAACTGGAACACCACTTGGACAATATTAGCATTGACAAATTCATCAATCAATTGCAAAAGGTGGCCTTACTGGGAACAGCTTCCTCCAACGATGATATCTGTAATACCTTCAATTCAGACATCCACATCTGCCTATCCCAGGTCCTTGGGAAGGACTCGATTTGTAGATAAAAATGCCAAAGCTAGTGTGAACATCTGGCTGATTGTGCAAATAATAATAATAATAATAGTAATAATAATAATAATAATAATAATAATAATAATAATAATAATAATAGTTGCAGATCAATGGTGAGAAGCTGGGAGAGGTTAATATCAAGAGAGGAATATTTCAAGGAGATTCATATCACCATTACTATTTGTTATTGCACTGTTTCCTCTGTCAACAATACTGAATAACTCAGGACATGGTTATCAAACATCAAAAACATCTGCTAGACTATCCCACTCCTTTACATGGATGATCTGAAGCTGTATGGAAAAACATCATCTGAAATAGAATCGCTGCTCAACACTGTCCGTATATATAGCCAAGATATTGTAATGGAGTTTGGCTTGGACAAATGTGCCACACTTACTATCAAACAAGGAAAAATAATGAAAACTGAAGGAATCAAGATGCCCCACGAAAATAACATTAAGAGTCTGGATGAGGAAGAGTACTACAAATACTTGGGTATCCTTCAAGCTGACAACATCAAGCACACTGAAGTCAAGAAAAAGATTAGAGGTGAATACATCAAGAGAGTGAAGAAGATCTTAAAGTCCAAACTCAATGGAGGAAATACCATAAAGGCAATCAACACCTGGGCAATCCCAGTCATTAGGTACACAGCTGGAATAGTGGACTGGACTCAAGCAGAACTAAAAGCAATGGATAGGCAGACCAGAAAAATAATGACAATGAATCATGCCCTTCATCCACGCAGTGACATTGATAGACTTTATCTACCAAGGCAAATAGGTGGGCGTGGAATGCTACAAGTACATCAGATGGTTGAAGAAGAAAAAATGGCTTTGGAAGAATATCTGAAGAACAATGATGAAGATGCACTGAAATTAGTATATCAGGAAGGCTTACTAACTACTGGAGAGACCAAACTGGCCTACAAGAAAGACCAAATAAAGAACAGAATAGAGGCATTGGAA